TTCTTTTTATTATTATTATTATTATTATTCTCATTATTATTATTATTATTAGTTCATGTATTTTTTTTTACATTGCTTTACATGAGATTTTGTCTATATTAGAGCTATATTTTGTTAATAAGCAAAGTGTAGTGACCCATAACAAGCAGTCCAGGTTCACATACCTGTCATAGTGGATACAGGAAGACAATATTCATTATTCACTCTAATGTACACGTGGCCATTGGTCTCTGGATAAATGATAAGCACCTTTACCTTTAATTTTGGCATAATTGCTGTCTGGGTAACAGGTAGACTTAAAATGTGATAAATATTTTGTTAATATTGTTAATAAATAGGGCAATGTGCAAACTGTAGTGACCCATCATAAACAGTCCAGGTTCACATACCTGTCATAGTGGATACAGGGGGACAATACTCACTCTAATGTACATGATCCCATTGGTCTCTGGATAAATGATAAACACCTCTAATTGTGGCATAACTGCTGTCTGGGTAAAAAGTGTAGTGAACCATTATAAACAATCCAGATTTACTTATCTGCCATAGTGGATACAGGGGGACAATATTGGTCCTGATGTACATGATGTGATTGGTCTGTGGGGAATTGTCCTTTATCTTAAATTTCAGTAAAATTGCTGTTTATATTTTGGGTAGCAGGTTCTCTTCAAATGTGATCATTATGTTTTTCATAAACAAGGCAAAGTGCAGTGCTCCATAGCAAGCAGTCCAGATTCACCCACATAGCGGATACAGGCTGAAAATATTCGTCTTGGCATCCAGTGTATGTAGCAAATTAATAATCACACTTGTATCAAATTTTGACACAATTGCTGTCTACATTTCATGGGCAACAGGTGAACTAAACAAAGCAGTGAATCTGACATTTACCAAACAATCACTGCCGGTGAATATTCCTGATGCATGGTTTTTGCATGACAGTGATTGATTCACCACCAGTTAATGTTTAGTGAAAGTCACATTCACATGTGGTAGAAAAAATGGAAAATGGAATTGTCGCCAACAGCAGCAACATTTCACATCTGATATGGAGACCAAGGTAGACAATACTACATCAAAGCAATGGGCTCTCGTTTACAACAACCAATCATATCCCGTGTTTACTTTCCATAGACACTAAAAGTTACAACTTTTCCATTCAATCTTTATTGTTTTTATGGAGAACTAAAAGATAACACTTGATTGATTGCTATGGGCAGCATCTTTGTATTAGATGTATACATTGCCCTGCCGCTGTGTTATGCAGAAAGGGAGATAGCAAGGTGCATGATGCAGTAGCCTATGGCAACCAGTTATAACCATTGGCATAACCATAACCATTGGCATTGTCCACATTGTTTCAGTAATCTGCTGCAAACAACTAACAGACATCCTCCATGCAGGAATCATTATCTGTATAGTGCCATGGCTTGTAGGTCATAAATGTGCACAGAGGTGTGAAGCTTTGTATCCAGGGCAGTCTGTGTGGTTGTGTTGTGGAAACGATGCTGGGTTACCACAGAAACGAATATTCGTTATTTCTTGGTCAGACAAGTGTAATATCTGCATGGCCTACTTAACATAAGTGCATGCAAGGGACTACCAACTGCAACAGCCACCGATCAGATGCTGCATTCGCTCTGACAGTTTTACACTTGTAGATCCAGAACTGTGGTTGCTATGGGCTACTACCATTGCCATTTCCTATACTATTACCAATGCGAATCACACGTTATATGATGTTAAAGACATTTTAGGACATGCATGGGATGAGATGTGTACGTTTCAGGGTATTATCGGAGCAGAATAGACATAAAATGAAGACAGGTTAGTGGACAGAAATATAATCCTAAATACAGCTGACACCCCATCCAGTGACCCCTCATGTAAATCCCCCAACTATCACTTTGATGTCTTCTTATGAGAACAAAAGATCGCATAGAAGCTTAAAAATGTCAATTATTTCTCTACAGGACTAGTTGCTTTCACATATTTGACTCCGATCCATTGTTCTTTCACTTAAAGAAACCTTTATGTGTAACGTAGTGGTCCTTTAATGTATTAACCTTTTACAAACCAAGCAAACGTTTACTAAAAAGGAAGCATAATACCCTTGTGAGTAATCATAGATGGAAGCTGTCATTTTCTGACTCTCAGGCCATACGTCTACAGATTATTGGGACTTGACACTATAGATACAGTGCCTGCATGGGGAAAGGGAAATAGCAGCTTCTGTTTGAGGCTTTCCACACAGGTATTTTGTTTCCCTTTAAAGCAAACGTGTAATCTGTCATCCAATGCACAGCAAACAGATCTCTTGCCCTGCTCCATGATCAGTATGTGTAATAGTATCTATATAACCAGTGCCAGTGATCTGCTCCCAGCACAATAACTGGCCCCAAATTGGCTTGGCAGCTGCTGTGTGGGTTTTGCAATCCCTGCCATTCTCTGCTGCCCTCTCCCAGCCTGATGCAGCCAGAAATTACACATATCCTCTTCTATATATAGACCTTGGCACTCCTGCCATGGGCTTGCATAATGATTGCCACTTCCAGTCTGTTTGGAGTTGGATTAGGGTGAGAAGTCAGTTATATTACAAACTCAGTGCCAAGTCCACTCCTAAGACAGGGCAGTGCGATATGTGACAGTGTATACACACTGGTGCGAACAGTCACTTACTGGGATGTACTGGGATTTGGACAAAGGGAAGACAACCCACCATATGCTTTATTCGAAACTTCTACATGTATGATGTGATCAGAAAATGAAATTAGAGGAAACATCAAAGGTCAGGAGCACATGGGGAATTTTAATAGCAGGACATGACCAAGAAAGAATTAATAATAGCCAATGATCGCTGCACATTTGGAACACAGGGAGTGACATACAAAAGTAGCATGTAGTAGCAATTCCTAATGATAACATAATGATGCAGATGTGTGCGATTGATACTCTAAGCATTTAACTGTTACAGCTTTTAATATATTTACATAGTATTTGAGGTTGAATAAAGACTCAGGTCCATTGAGCTCTGCCTATGTTTAGCAGAATCACATATGAAGTACTTGATACTGTATTAGATATTATTCAACAAAATGATTTATTCCTATATAGGACCTAGGGTACTGACTGCAAATAGACTGCTGCCTCTATCTATCTATCTATCTATCTATCTATCTATCTATCTATCTATCTATCTATCTATCTATTTCTCTCTCTCTCTCTCTCTCTCTCTCT